GAGCGCGCGACGGCCGCTGACGTCGCTCCGCATCAGACTCACAGAAAGTCTGTTAGCTGTGTTCTTGGGGAACCACGGCTGGAACGTCAACCCGCGCTTCAGATGGTATTCGAAAGTGCCGATCGAGGCTGAAGCATTCTCGAGAGCCACGGCTCCATTCGTTTCCCGACTTGTGTCTCTCTCTTCGATGGCGGAGAGCCTCCACATTCTTTTCCATCAAGGGACCTTTGGAGGAAGTCGTTTGAGACAAGGAGATGTCGACTGCGCCAATCGAAGGGTTGTGAAGGATTAGACTTCGTCGTATAGTGGACCGAGGTTATTCATTCACATAGACAACCGATTGCCACGTGCAACTCGGACACTCGAAAGGAGTGAATCCCCTACAATGCAAACTCGATGATGAATCCACTGGGCGATCATCCTTGACGATCATTTGTTACATGCGACCCTGATTCAGGGCGATTACTCAGCAGATCTTCGGGTTTCAATTCCACATCTTTCCCAGAAGTCGTCGAAATATTCTCACAAGATTTCCGTGTATTCCTTTGGTGAAGCCCAACGCCCTGGCCATTTCGTCGTCGATATCGGAGTGGTGAGGGGTAATTTTCCGTCACAGTGCGGGGAATGGTGTCCCTGCCACATCTGACACAATGCGGGTCGATCCTTCGGTATTTCCCTCTAGGGCTATGGGGCTTCTCGTCGGTCGCTCCCGTGTTCCGGCGAAGGCAAACAGATTGCTACCTCGACTCTTTCTAAGCAGTCCGTATGTCGCTATCCCTTCCATTTTTCTCGGTTGCGAACGGCTTCTGCTCCTCGATCTAGTCATTGGTCTAGACCAGGGGTATCAAAGACGTGTCCCGCGGGACGCGAGTAGCCCGCGAGATTTTTGCCGTGGCCCGCGATCGATCCTTAGGAATTTCTCGGGATATTATCTGTGCCATATATCTCTTCACAATGCAATTTCGAGTCAAATAATTGAAGTTTTCGCGGAATACTTGAAGTACTGCGATGGGACGGTAATTGTGTATTCCCGTCAAAAATCTCAATCCCTTCGATCACTGAAAAAAACTGAATTCACGGAAATACTAGGGCTCAGATGTGGCCCGCAGGTTCTCTCAGCGTTCTTCCGTGTCCCGCCAGACATTCGACTTTGCCACCCCTTAGATCGAGAGTTCGATTTCATTCAGGTCCTTCGCTTTCCATCGAAGTAGAAGGCTTCTCGTCACCTCTTCTTCGAGAATCGGGTTCAGTTTGTTTTGTTGCTCCAGGTCAACCTGGAAGGGTCCGATTTATGACCGAAGTCTGAGTCCCTCATGGGTCTGCCCATCGGTGGGGAGGAGCGGATTTATGTGAAAATCTTAATCGAGATCTGACGAGCTCGCACCAGTTTTCTTGGTCGTCCTTCATTCCTCTGAAGGCTCCCTGACTCGCGACCAGCAACTTCTCCAGATCCCCAGGACTCAGACCGCTCATATTGAAGACTTGATTTGCGATCTGGTTTTCCAGTGCCTCTACAGCTCTGGCGTTGACTCCAGTTGATTCCGGAGACGTCTCGAGGTATCATAACCCTCGCATACAGAGCGATGAGTTTCCCCAACGGAGTCTGAATAGCAATCTATCACCGGGGTCGACCAACGATCCAACCATATCTCTAGTCTCGCGAGACGCACAAAGGCAGTGTCCTCTTTGTTCGTTCTTGGTCACTGACCATAGATGACTCAAGACTCGAGTGATGAGCCTGGCTTGAGACTGACTACTGAATAACTTCGTTCATTCCTTGCATGCACCGTCAAGAGCCGCCGACTCACAGCGGGATTCCCACTTGTCAAATATCCCATGCTGAATATTCTAAAACCCAAACCCACGACGTTGACGCCCAATAATCTTGTGATCCGACTTCGAGTCAATTGTAATCGCTTGTAAAGACGCGCGCTCTCCGCGCCTCCTCCGTCGCGTCCGATGGAAAGGCGCTGGAGAGAGACAGATCTCCTAAATCAAAATAAAAGTAGTGGCTCTCTGTTCGCCTACCGCGATCGACGTGTTCTTGTTAATGCTCGCGTTGAACACCTGCGAGGACATGACATCGTCGAGTACCGGAACCAGGGCCTCGCGAGCAGTCCAGGAGCTGAACGTCTGAGCTGGGAAGGCCTAATTAGTCGATCGCGGCTTGAATCGCTCCCCCATGATTGACTCCACATTGTGACCCGTCGCAGAAACGCGCCAACGGAACGTCCGTCAACAGAGAAGCGACGCTCGGGAATAATGTGCGGAAGCATCGGGTTTGAGGATAGTTACCTCTCTCGTTCTGGGAGACTTTGCGAGACGCGGCACTCATGAGACGTGTTGCCAATCGTCGAAACTCCGCCAGCGGTGCCCAGGATACCACCTCGAAAAAGGCAGAAAATATCAGATTATCTCTGTGAGGAGGCAAAAATCAAGACAGGCTCGCATGGCCTAGAGCAGTGGTTCCCGACCTTTTTCTTCGACGGAATCGCAGGTAGACTTTGGGGTTCCGCGCAATCCGCCACGGAACCCCGAAGGTTCCGCGGAACCCAGGTTGAGAAACACTGGCCTAGAGTAGTCTATAAATAGAAGGATAGGATTGGATTCGTTTATTATCAAGGTTACTTTCCCTCCTCGAGAGACGTAGCTATATGAGCCCTCGAGACTCACTCGCGTAGTACATCCATCCGCGGTGAGCGAGACCCCTGGTTACATTCTGCAGCAGCATTGATGTCAGGCCGATGATAGACATTGTCACGTCGCGCACTTTGAGTCCTTTGGAGCGGGATCAGAACAAGCGGTGCGATCGACACAAGGTCACCAATGCGAAAAGAGACGTCACATCAGAGTACTCCGTTACGGACCAATCGAAGTGTTTCTTCACGAATTCATATATTACCGATGGGGGTGCCACTCGCTGCAAGTGAAAAGCTCAATTCAGCAGAGGTCAAGAGAAACCGGATAACGGGATAAAGGAAATAATGGGAGAACTAGGATCCCTCCAGTTTGATGAACAGACTCCTCGGATCGTCGCGGAACTCGAGCGGAGTTTCTAGGTATGCCCCGTGGATGAGATGGACAGTTCCTGAACCTTAGACAGAGGGGGACTTCTACCGGGTGAGGAGCTGGGGTTGTCACTCCGTCGTCACAGCGCG